GGAGGCCAAGGCAGGAGGATTGCTTGAGCCCAGGAGTTCAAGACCAACTTGGGACAACGCAGTGAGGCCCCATCTATACCAACAATTTAAAAAATTAGCTGGGCATGATAGCTCATGGCTATAGTCCCAGCTACTTGGAATAGTGAGGAGGAAGGATCCCTTGAGCCCAGGAGATCAAGACTGTGGTGAGCTGTGATTTCACTACTGCTCTCCAACCTGGGCAACAGAGTGAGACCCTGTCTCAAAAGCAACCACCACAAAAAACAACAACAAACGAAGACCAGGCCAGGTGATCCACATGAAATATAAGGCAAATATGTTCCTCCCCTGCAAAAAACCTCCCAAAAGCTCCCATTAAAAAAAAAAAAAAAAAAGTTGGGGGGGAGCTGGGCATGGTGGCTCATGCCTGTAATCCCAGCACTGTGGGAGGCCGAGGTGGATGGATCACTTGAGGTCAGGAGTTTGAGACTAGCCTGGCCAACATGGCAAAACCCCATCTCTACTAAAAACACAAAAATTAGCCAGAAATTGCTCGAACCCAGGAGGCAGAGGTTGCAGTGAGCCGAGATCATGCCTCTCTGCACTCCAGCCTGGGCAATAGAGCAAAACTCTGTCAAAAAACAATAAGCCATATTCCTTCCATGGCTTTCAGGACCCTGCCTATGCTTTGGCCTGAGCCCTGCTGTCCTCATCTCTTGAAGCTGCAGCTTCCTGTAAGTCACATTTGTGCTCCCCCAAGGCCCTGTGGACTTGCCCTGGGGACTCCCTGGAATAAGCTTCCCACAGACCTCATCTCACCGGGCCTACAGAGGCTCCCCTCCGCACTCATCCTTCCCCATCCCCTTCACTCCATCCCATTAGTCCTGTTTTCCTTCACACCACTTATTAGGATCTGAGAGAAATTAATTAGCCCATGCATTTTTTAAAACTCTGTCTCTCTCCATACTGAATAGAAAACACATTTCAAGAGAACACATTCTCTTGCTCACTAACACATCTCCAGAGCCTAAAACATTACCCAGCTTACAGAATGAATATATTTGGTAAAAATCTGTGAATAAATTAACAGGATCGCTCAAAGCCATCTTTGTCTTTTAAAGTTCTTCACATCTTAATCATGTTAAAATGTAAGAAAAAATGTAAAGTCTTTTCATACTTTCTATAGCACTTGATAAAGCAAAATGTTAGGCCCTAAAAATGTATAAAATAACATAAAATAAAATCAGAAGGGTCAATCAGGCGCAGTGGCTCATGCCTGTAATCCCAGCACTTTGGGAGGCTGAGGCGGGTAGATCACAAAGCCAGGAGATCAAGTGCATCCTGGCCAACATGGTGAAAACCCGTCTCTACTAAAATACAAAAAATTAGCCAGGTGTGACGGTGCGCACCTGTAGTCTCAACTACTCAGGAGGCTGAGGCAGGAGAATCCCTTGAACCTGGGAGGCGGAGGTTGCAGTGAGCCGAATCTGTGCCATGGCACTCCAGCCCAGAATCAGAGCGAGACTCCACCTCAGGAAAAAAAAAAAAAAAAGGTGGCTCATGCCTGTAATCCCAGCACTTTGGGAGGCCAAGGCAGGTGGATCACGAGGTTAGGAGTTCAAGACCAGACTGGCCAACATGGTGAAACCCCGTCTCTACTGAAACACAAAAATTAGCTGGGCGTGGTGGTTCATGTCTATAATCCCTGCTACTTGGGAGGCTGAGGTAGGAGAATTGCTTGAACTGGGACCTGGGAGGCAGAGGTTGCAGTGAGCCAAGATCGCGCCACCGCACTCCAGCTTGGGCTACAGAGCGAGACTCCATCTTAAAAAAAAAAAAAAAAAAAAAAAAAAAAAAAAGAAGAAGAAGAAAAGAATCAGAAGGGTTGAGTAAAGTAGGCCAATACATAAACTACATCGATGAAGAGACCCAAACTAAAGTAATGGCATACACATGTGGAGAGATGAGAGGGAGAGGAGAGGGAGGTGGGGGAGAGGATCCTTACCAGGGAAGGGAATAAAGTCAGGCATTGGGAGGGAGGAAGGCTGCCAGTCATGACCTTATTCCCACAGCATGTTCTGTCTCGAAGGGCAACTGAGCTCAAGAGGATTGTTAGTTAGAAATGTTCCCAACAGCTATTTTCTGGAAATCAGCAAAGAGACTAATTATCGAAAATTTCTCTCCCCATAGATAAGCACATTCTTCCCCATCCCTCATGGACACCTCAGTCCTCAGTGTCGTTATATCATCACCCTCTCTGGTATTCAAGAAACTCCTTGACTACGCATCCAGTAAACTCACAGTTGTGTTGCTGAGCTGAGATTTAAGTACAGGGTATAACATCTCATACAAAAGTGTCTTTAATTTTTTTCTTTGTTTTCTGTTCATTTTGAAGGGGCAGTAGAGAGGTCGTACAGAGCCAATGAATAAAGGAAGACAAAATGCAATCACACCAAGTTGAAGGAAAGAAATTGCCGATTCTGAGGAAATGCCCTCACACAACATTAAGGGATTTTATTTCTTTGTTGTTTGCTTTTCACGCGTGAGGCCACACCCAGCTGCTCTCCAAAATGAGATGATCGGGAAGAGTTCCTAGTCTCCAACACAAGGATGGAGTGAGGTGAGGTACAAGAAACAACCAGATTAGTTGATTTAAAAAAAGAGAGAGTGGAAGAAAGAGGATTACCCTGTTCTTTTCTATTTCTCCAATTCTACATTTATTGACTGGCAATACTGTTCACTTCTGGGCTTTAAGGGAGGAATATGCAGTTAACTTGGGAATAGTTTCAAACAAAAAGCTAGTGCTAGACATGGCTCGTCTGTACCATATTAATTATAGTTCTAACTTGCCAAATCAATATATCTTCTAGAACTAAGCTCTATAACATTTAACACACCAACATTCTAGGGTTCCGCCTCTGTAATAACACAGGCCTCTTATAGAAAAGAATGGAGGAAAACATTTAAATTATCCAATTTTTCCCATAAGAGAAAAAGATCTACCTAGTAGTTATTAGCTGCCATGTCATTTAAAAAAAGATCGCAGCAGGAAAAATGTAAACAAATCTCAGGAAGGAAACTTCACAAGTCACAGCACAACCTGGGGAATTTTCTTTCAAATGGGAAGCATCAAGAATCAAGAAGATCTCTGAATATTTTAGGTGATTTATTTTCCCAATACTAAAGGGAGATCAAGGAAGACTGCAGGCTGTAATGGGTAAAAAAGAGGAAGCAAAGTCAACAGGCAGATACAGACACCTTATTATTTATTATCGTATCTTGATCTCAGCCAAGGCTCATTTTCATTGTATTTCAAAATTTGTCATTATTTCATTCCTATATATTGAAGAAGGCTGAGAAGAGAGCACAGTTGGCAGCAACAAAACAAAGTAACTAACCCATATGATTAAAAACCACAGCCTGGCATGGTGGCTCACACATGTAATCTCAGCACTTTGGGAGGCCATGCTGGTGGATCACAAGGTCAAGAGCTCGAGACCAGCCTGACCAGTATGGTGAAACCACATCTCTACTGAAAATACAAAAATTAGCAGGGCATGGTGGTGCACACCTGTAATCCCAGCTACTCAGGAGGCTGAGGCAGGAGAATCACTTGAACCCAAGTGGCAGAGGTTGCAGTGAACTGAGATCACACCGCTGCACTCCAGCCTGGGCGACAGAGCAAGAACCATCTCAGAGAAGACAAAAGAAAAACCATTATCCTCAAATAAAACTCCTGGGTTCTGCACAAGTGAACCATCCTTCAATTTTGTCATGAGAATTTCATACATGAGAAATCCTCCACATCTGGGTTTAGAGGCATACTCATCCCAACCAACGCCACACATATACCACATACCTGAGACTGATTAGCAATACTCTGCCTTGACGATGAGAATCCAGCTGTGTTCATATTCATTACAAATTATGAATATGCCTGAATTATGAATATGAATTACTGTTCCACAGTATGAACTCTCTTGGTGAATGGGAGCTGGGGATAAAGCAGGCAATGCTGCTTTACGTCCATACTTCACACGTACATGAGTTAGGAACGCACCAAACAGCACTGCAGGGCCCATAGAAACCTGCGGCCCACTGGGAAGAATAACTGTGCCCCATGGAGCTGCTTCTAGAAGGAATGCCTGTGAGCAGCAAAGTCATAAATACTGACTCTGAGCCACTTCAGAATCGTCGCTGATTACAGGGTCTTGAAGACGTATTTGTACCTCGTGTTTATAGCAGCATTATTTATTTGTATTTCATGTTCACAGCAGCATTATAGCAAAAGGTGGAAACAATCCAAGTGTCCATTGATGGATAAATGGATACACAAAATGTGGCATATACGTACACTGGAATATTACTCAGCCTTAAAAAGGAAGGAAATTCGGACGCATGCTACAATATGGATGAACATTGAGGACGTCATACAATGTGAAATAAGCCAGCCACAAAAAGGACAAATACTGTATGATTCCACTTATATGAACTACCTAGTGTAGTCAAATTCATAGAGACAGAAGGGGAATTGTGGCTGTCAGGGCCTTGGAGAAAGAGGAGAATGGGGAGTTACGTTCAATGGGGACAGGGTTCACTTTGGATGATGAAGAGTTCTAAAGACGGATGGTGGTGGTGGTGATTGCACAATGACATCAATGTATGCGATGCCACTAAACGGTACACTTAAAAATGGTTACAATGGTAAATTTTGTTATCTATGTTTTACCACAATTAAAAATAATTTAGAAATCAATTTTTTAAAATCACTGATTAAAGCAGGCTAGAGAACTGTTGAGTGCCCATCTGTTAAGAAAAGAAGGTTTGGCAAATGTACTTAATACTCTAGTTTAAAAAAAATTATACAAACAGACATACTAAGCTATTGAGCAGCTAAGGGGAAAAAAAAATGCTTGCAACACATGTTGTTTTTAAATTACAGGGTAACTGGGCAGAAACACATCATAGTTGCTATTTCAACAGCAAATCTGCCTCACAGAGAAGTGAATTCTCCTACTTACATCAAACGAAGCTGCATTCGTCTGGGCATTCTGATTACATGGTTCCCTGAAGCAATCACTAAAAGGAAGGAGAAGCCCCATGGCAATGATCCGTGAGCAAAACTTCTCTGCTTCTTCTGGAGGCCCGTTCTCCTGCTGGCTGAACAGCTTCTCCAACAGCGTTCGCCCTGCAGATGAAACACAGTCATTAAGAGGGAGCACTGCTGATCACCTGGCTCTGAACTCTCCAGGGGACAGTGGCTGGGTAAACACTGCCAGGAAGAAACGCTGTTTCCAAGGCTACTGCCAGCGCAGAAAGGAGCTCAAGCTAGGAGAAAGCTCTATAGTCTGAGGCCAGAGTTGCCACATTAAAAAACTGCAGATCTGGTTTGCTCTCTCATCCCCCTAAATACCTCCTGCCTCAAAACAGAACAGGCCAAGTTATGGACTATACAGCTTCCATTTAAGATTTTTAATTGAGATAGGGTCTCGATATGTTGCCCAGGCTGGCCTTGAACTCTTGGGCTCAAGCGATCCCCCCACCTCAGCCTCCTGAGTGGCTACGATTGTAGGCGTAAGCCACCATGCCCAGCTCCCCTTTCTTTTTTTTTTTTTTTTTTCTTAATAGAGATGGGGATCTCATTATGTTGGTCAAGCTTACCTCAAACTCCTGGGCACAAGCCATCCTCCTGCCTCGGCATCCCAAGTAGCTAGAGCTACTGACACATACCACCTCACTCAGCTCCCTCTTGGATTTAATTGGTAAATCCAATTTTGGATTTAAATTTGGATCCAAGACCAGATATGGTGGCTCACCCCTGTAATCTCAGCAGTACGGGAGGCTGAGGCAGGCAGATCACCTGAGGTCAGGAGTTCAAGAGCAGCCTGGCCAACATGGTGAAACCCTGTCTCTAATAAAATAAAAACAAAAATTGGCTGGGCGCAGTGGCTCATGCCTGTAATTCCAGCACTTTGGGAGGCTGAGGCAGGTGGATCACCTGAGATCAGGGGTTGAGACTAGCCTGGCCAACATGGCAAAACCCCATCTCTACTAAAAATACAAAAATTAGCCCAGTGTGGTGGCAGGCGCCTGTAATCCCAGCTACTTGGGAGGCTGAGGCAGGAGAATCACTTGAACCTGGGAGGTGGAGGTTGCAGTGAGCCGAGATCGCACCATTGCATTCTACCCTGGGAGACAAGAGGGAAACTCCATCTTAAAAAATAATAATAATAACCAGGCATGGTGGTGGGTGCCTATAATCCCAGCTACTCAGGAGGCTGAGACTGGAAAATCGCTTGAACCCGTGAGGCAGAGGTTGCAGTAAGCCAAGATCGCGCCATTGCATTCCAGCCTGGGCAACAAAAGTGAAACTCTGTCTCAAAAAATAATAAATAAATTTGGATCCAAAAGGCTAAACTCTTTGAATTTAATTGCAGATGGCTCTCGAAGGAAGCAGTTACTAATCCAACATGCCACCATTTAGACTCAGAAATGTCAGTGACTGACATTCACAGTCTCAATCATGGCAATGGGGAGGGGACAGAGAATGAACAGACAAAGAGGCAGGCAGAGGCACCAACCCACAAGAAGTGAAGAGAGCTGGCCAGCAGCAAAATAGAAATAAGTCACCCAGAAAAGGGATAAAAATTTGCATTTCTCTCTAATGCTTCTCAGAAATACAACTCTAGCATAGGTCCAAATTTAAGGACCCTTTTTCCCCCTATTTCCCTAAAAAAAGGCAAGACAGGCATCGTAAGAAGACCCCGGCTGAAGATCTAGGCTGAGGGTCTAGAGGGCCTGGGTCCACCTCGCCCAGGGGTTCTCAATCTTGGCTGAAACTGAGGATCGCTTAGAGAGAACAAAATTGCTGGAAGCCAGGCTCACACATCAGTTTTCTGCTGTTGCCAGTTGGTTCTAATGTTAGCCAGAGTTCAGAGCCATGGATATGGGCCTTAATTGATTTCTGACACTACGAGCTCTTTTTTGTTGTTTTTGAGATGGAATCTCGCTCTGTTGCCCAGGCTAGAGTGCAGTGGCCCAATCGATCTCAGCTCACTACAACCTCTGTCTCCCAGGTTCAAGCAATTCTCCTGCCTCCGCCTCCTGAGTAGCTGGGACTACAGGCATATGCCACCATGCCCAGCTAATTTTTTTTTTTTTTTTTTGTATTTTTAGTAGAGACCAGGTTTCACCATGTTGGTCAGACTGGTCTTGAACTCCTGACCTCAAATGATCTGCCTGCCTCGGCCTCCTGAAGTGCTGGGATTACAGGAGTGAAACACCATGCCTGGCTTAGCTCTTTAACTTTCAAACATTTATGCAGTTTGTTTTGCATTCATCAACTTTCATCAGAGAAAATGGAAAATCTCTAGGGTCCCTTCCAGGGCCACAATTGCCCCTCCCTCTAATTAGCAAATTTAGATCTTCTGTTATCTTCAAATTTAGATTAACTATTATCCAGAAAAGTCTTCAGTGATCCCCTTCCATGCTCTTTTGGAGCCCTTCACAGCTTCTTTGTGTAATCGATTATTTTGACTAATTAGTTACGCAGTCACTTGTTTAATGTTGACCTTCCTCACTGAAATACGAACTTGCTGACAGCCAGCATCTATCTTACAAACTTGGGCACTTGCACATGAAAAGCATCAATCAATGTTTTTAGGATTTCTGAATAAATACAATGCTACAATTCTGTGACAGTTTCATTCATATCGTAGTCAGAACTGGAAATGATGTATCAGCCTATGCCATCAAACTTCCTATGTCAAGAGCCACATCGTAAGTATTTCAGGCTTCATGAGCCACGTAAGGTCTCTGCTGCATATTTTTCACTGGTTTAATTTTGTTTTGAGCAACTTTGAACATGTAAAAACCATTCTTAGCTCCGGGCTTTGCAAAAGCAGGCCAAGTTTATACTTCAGTTACGATAACTACATTTCAAATGTATAAATGTTCAATTCTATCAGGATACTTGTCAAGTAATTTTTATGCCTCTTCCTATTTCTGTCTGTAAGACAAAACTAATCTCAAAAGCTGCCTTTGATATTTCAAGTGACAAAGCAGGACACAAGAGGTCTATTTTCTCCATTGCTTCTGGTCATTAGAGAACATTCTTTGGTCTCCCAGGATTTTTTTTAAGGGGAAATAAAGAATTTTCCCCCTACAGAACTTCAGTGTGTCTGCATCTAACTGGAACTAAATACCTAGGAAATGGCATCCTTCAATTCTCAAGAGATTACTTATCATAACAGAATATTCCTCTTACCGAACTACTGGAAATAGCCCTAAAACTAATCTTTTTCCTACCACTCAGATAATGTAGATGACAAAGAAATAAGGGCAGCAGGATCTTGCATGTGTGTGACTGAGGAGAAATGTGTTTGTGTATATCAAGTCAAAACTTGTCAAAGGGGTTCCGGAACGGTGTGGAAGAGGCAGGATGATTACCTGCTGGGACTCCACTTCCATGAGAAGCACATGCCCTTAAATCCTTAATCCAGGGTTTCTCCACCTCAACCCTGTGGACACCCTGGGCCTGATGTTTCCGTGCTCTGGGGTAGTGGGGGGAAATTTTCCTGCACTTTCAGCAGCATCCCTCGCCATTATCACGGATGGCAGCGGTACAGCCACCTCGCCCCCAGCTGTAAGAGCCGAAAATATCTTTATTTTGCCAATGTCTCCCGGGGCAAGGGGGCAAAAATATTCCCAGGCTGAGATCCCCAGGCCTAACCTCTCTCTAAAGAAACGTCACCTCCATCTTTAACAGTAACCCGGCTTCCCGCTGAGGATCTCCTCACACTGCAATCGTCTCGGTGGAGGCATTTTAAGTCAAATCTCTCACATTTGAGGGACAAAACGTGGGTGACCTCCTTGATCCCCATGAGTACTTCCAAATGATTCATTCTCCTTCAAACCCACAAGCTTTCTGGAAACTCCTGCCACTGGCCAGCCTCTACTATCCCTCCTCCTTTCTGCCACCCGCTAACCTCTACCTATTCCCTCCCCTTGCCGTTCACTAAGTAACTCACCTCCTGCCTCACGGACCTGCGTTCCGCCTCCACTCCTGTCATCCTCAGTGATTCTGACATCCACGTGGAGGGCAAACTGATGCTCAGGTGGATAACGCTCCTGAGACCTTCATCCCCTCGCCTCCAGCTAACATTTTCTCCACCGCAAATTAGCCACCCATGTCACAACCTCAAATTGGTCACTATGAGGAACTGCACCACCTCCAGAAGATCAGCTCCAAAGTTTACTCCAAACTCTCCAGTGGCTTCCCATCGCCCTCAGAGTAAAATCAAACCTTCACTGTGGAGTCCTGATAGGTAAGTTAGCAACAATGAGGAAAAGGGGTCCCAGGTGGGGGAGAACAATCGTTCTGAGAGATGGCTAACCACAAACAACCCGCTGGCACAATATCCTGTGCCCAGATACCCCACTCTGCACGCAGCCCAGCAGCATCACTGTATCTGCAGGTAGCCCCACAAGCAGGACCCGATCAAACTTCCCTCCAGCCCCTGCCTCTTGGCAGACAGCCCCGTCTCTGCTGTGCTCCCCGTGGCTTCCTTGCAAAGTACTTACTCTCTAATAAACTTGCACTCTTTACCTCGTTGCTATTTCAGTACATGATTTTATAACCCAAGGCAAGAGCCTGAATCAGTCACAACCCCCGCAGCACTCACCGGACGCAGGAGCCACCTCCCTACCTCCCAGCTGTCACCACTCTTGCCTACTGGCCTCCTCCTCGAACACACTGAGCTCACTCTCACCATGAAGCCTTTTGCACTAGAACATTCTTCCCCCGGACACATCAATGATTCCCTCACTCCCTTGTGTCATTCAGGTCTCCAGTCAGCGGTCACTTCCACTGAGAGAACCTCCTCTAACACCCTTTCTGAAGCAGCACACCCCATTACTCTTGTGTCCGTTATCCACTTTATTCTTCAGAGAGCGTAGTCCTCGAGTTTATGTAGGTCCATGATGTCTCCTGCTCCTGGAGTGTAACCCTCATTCAGCAGTCCCTGTTCGTTTACCACCTTTTACTCAGGGTCTCAAGGAGTAGCTGGCAAAGAGGGGATAATCAATTAACGTTCTAATCATCAACAAATCTATGCACAAATGCCTGAATGGAACGTCGAACTCCTGACCACCACCTTCTACCTTCAGGATCTTACTCTAGAACCCCTGCGAAAGCTCCATCGACCATGCTGACCTTGAATCCGTGTCTCTACTAATGTTGCACAATCCAGCACTCGTGCTGTCTCACTGCCTCCCTCAGCGGCTTAAGTTCCGTGTTTTATCCCCGTAATTAAATACTTCAAACACTTCAGCTCCCTCATCCCTCTCTCCCTCCACCACGCTTGTCTGGTGAAATCACAACCTGTTTCAGCATGGCCATCCACTTTCTCTTTGCCTGCACCTGAGCAACCGAACACTGTAAAAGAAAGCCATGGCCAGGCGCAGTGGCTCACGCCTGTCATCTCAGCACTTTGGGAGGCTAAGGCGGGTGGATCCTGAGGTCAGGAGTTCAAGAACAGCCTGGCCAAGATGGTGAAACCCCCGTATCTACTAAAAATACAAAAAAAAAAAAAAATTAGGTGGATGTGGTGGTGGGCACCTGTAATCCCAGCTACTTGGGAGGCTGAGGCAGGGGAACTGCTTGAACCTAGGAGGCAGAGGTTGCAGTAAGCCCAAATTGTGCCATGGCACTCCAGCCTGGATGACAGAGTGAGACTGCATCTCAAAAACAAACAAACAAAAAAAACAATAACAAAAAGAAAGCCAAAAAAAAGTCAGAATTCACTTTCTTTCTTTCTTTCTTTTTTTTTTTTTTGAGACGGAGTTTCGCTCCTGTTACCCAAACTGGAGTGCAATGGCGTGGTCTTGGCTCACGGCAACCTCCACCTCCTGGGTTCAGGCAATTCTCCTGCCTCAGCCTCCTGAGTAGCTGGGATTACAGGCACGCGCCACCATGCCCAGCTAATTTTCTGTATTTTTAGTAGAGATGGGGGTTTCACCATGTTGACCAGGATGGTCTCGATCTCTTGACCTCGTGATCCACCCGCCTCGGCCTCCGAAAGTGCTGAGATTACAGTCGTGAGCCACCGCGCCCGGCTTGTCTTCACTTTCAGTTCACAGCTATATACCTCAATGAGGCCAACACCGCTCTGCGTTCTGTCAGCTTCCACTCCAATGCAGTTTTTATACAATCTTCTCCCCACCTGACACATTCTTTCCAATGATGAGATGATATTGTCAAATAATTTACTGAGACAGTGGAAGAATCTGAGACAAATTCCAAATATGCAAACACACTCTTGTCCTCCTCACAGTGGAAAGAGGCCCTGTTACAAACAAGAGCAAGTTCCTTCCCTTGTGTTCTGAACTGAATTCCTCGTTGCGTGTCAAGATCTCACTTCATTAGCTATCCCTTCTCTCCTGAAACACAAACACCTCCCTCTTTGCTGGACATTCCCAGTATCACACAAACATGCTTTAAAAAAAAACAAAAACAAAAACAAAAGTACAAACCCTCCCTTGAGCCCACATCACTCCCTGCAATCGAGCTACTATTCCATTTCCTGTCTTCCCTTCACATCAAAACTACTAACCGGAATTACCTGCGTTTGCTACCTCTCGCTCCTTGCTCAGGCAGCTCTCATTTGGTTTCCATCCCCATCATGTGCCAGAAACTGCTGGCCAGCATGGTACCAATAATGTATTTTTCCCTTTTTTTTTTTTTTAAACTTGGAACACAAACACTTTATTTAAAGGTGCATCTCAATTTATGTGTGGCGGCACAAAATAAAGTAAAGGAGCAGATCGTAACATACCATTCCCATCAGCCAAGTGGTTGAACCCAACATCCAGACCCAGTGAGCAGCCAAGCGCAGCGCAACCTCCGGGCCACCTGGTCTGACTCCAACAGGGTGAGCATGTCGCCCTCGCACATGGGCCCTTTTACATTGCAGATGATGGAGCAGCCTGTGTGGTCCATAAATTCCGTGCACACCTGCGTGCACCGTCCATGAGAGCTGGTCCTGCTCAGGACCTTGGTGACCCTGGCCGGCTTGATAGGCTGCACACGGCTGGTATCCCTGACGGTGGTTTGGTGGCGGTATGGCAAGAGTCTTTTTTTTTTTTTTTTTAAGAGATAAGGTCTCCCTCTTTCACCCAGGCTGGAAAGCAGTGGCAGTATCGTAGCTCACTGCAGCCTCAAACTTCTGGGGTCAAGCAATCCTCCTGCTTCAACCTCCCAAGGTGCTGGGACTACATGGGTGAGCCGCCACACCCAGCCATCATTTCTGTCTTCACCCTACTCAGTTTATCTTTCAGAACATTTTCACTATTGATTTACTCCTACTTCTTAAAGCATTTTACTCTCATCTCGTGATAATCCCTTCTCCTGTTTTCTCTAACTTGCTAGCCATTTTCTTCCAAGGCCCTTTTACTGACTTTTTCTTTTTTTTTTTTTTTTTGAGTTGGAGTCTCACTCTGTTGCCCAGGCTGGAGGCCAGTGGCACAATCTTGGTTCACTGCAACCTCCGCCTCCCTGGTTCAACCAGTTCTCCTGCCTCAACCTCCCAAGTAGCTGGGATTACCGGCACATGCCACCACGCCCAGCTAATATTTTTGTATTTTTAGTAGAGACAGGGTTTCACCATGTTGACCAGGCTGGTCTCAATTGTGTGACCTCAGGCAATCCACCCACCTCAGCCTCCCAAAGTGCTGGGATTACAGGCATGAGCCATCTATCCCCTTTTACTGACTTCTTTACATGGCAATGCAGGAGTGCTTCCTGGCTCATCCATGGTGTATTCTCTCAACTCTTTCTATATTCTCTCCCGTAATCTTACCCAGTCTCTAAATATCCCATTCTTTGAAACTGGGCAGACATTTGTGAATACACTGACAGTAGGGCAGAAGGGACACCATACCTGGACAGAATGCATGTGGCAGTTGGGGCAGCTAAGTATAGCTTCTGAAGACAGAAGAGTTCCTAAGACTGGTTTCACGAGATACAGGTCACAAAGACCCACCGATAAAGCAGGATGTGGAAAAGAAGCCAGCCAAAACCCACCAAAACCAAGACCTTAGTGAAAGAGACCTCCGGTTGTCTTCATTGTTCATTATATGCTAATTATCATTATTAGCATACTAAAGGACTCATTAGCATGGACCCACCAGTGCCAAGACAGTTTACCAATGCAATGGCAATGTGAGGAAGTTGCCCAGTATGGTCTTTAAGTGGGAGGAGCCCTCAATTCTGGGAATTTCCTGTCACTTTCCCAAAAAACTCATGAATAATCCACCGTTTGTTTAGCAAATGATCAAGAAATAACCATAAAAGTAGCCAGCCAGACGCCTTCAGGGCTGCTCTGCCTGCCAGGTAGCCACCCTTTTATTCTTTTACTTTCTTAATAAACTTACTTTCACTTTACTTTGTGGTTCCCTCTTGAATTCCTGAGGGAAGCCAAGAACCCATCTGCTTTCCCAGGCAGAGCCCAGTTTTAGGGTTGGCTCCGTGACACGACTGTATTGTAATAGCAGGAGAACTGGAGAAAAAGATGAGAATTCAGAGAACCACCAAACCAGCAGGGTTACCAATCTGGTTCCTCCAGTATCCCTAAACCTGAACTCAAGCTATCCCAAAACCCAGAAGTGGGCATCAGCACTGACAAGGAGTGACTTTAAGGGCCAATTTGGCAATGTGTGTCAGTGATCTTTAAAAATTCACCCCTTTGACACAGAAATACAACTTCATAAAAGCTATTCCAGGTAAATATTCAGAGGTATACTCAGCGTGATGCAGCATAGGATTATTATGAAAATGACATGAGATAATGCATGTAAAGTATTTAGCACAATTCTTGATACTATAATAAATGGATTATTAAGAGAAAAAAAATTCAAAGGAGCTAAAGTGTCCAATAAAGACATAAGCAAAAAAGAAAGAGATAGCTTTATACACATGACTGCTAACTATACAGCCATTAAAAGCCATGCTATTACAGAAAGAATAATAATCTAATTGATTTAAACATATTGAATATTTTTAAAGAAACCAGAAAAATAAATCATCAGATATCACTGGAGAATGCTGGGCCACTGATACCAGAAAACAGGAAATAATAAAGCATTTATGCTGCCTTTCTATAAAGAACTGTATTTCAGGGTAACAACTATACCTAGTGAATAAAGAAAAGTCTTCAATACAGAAAATTCCAGACAAAATGTGCAAAAGAAATGACGGAACTAGAAAATCACCATTTTGCAAAACCTAATGAAATAATGGGTTCACTCAATGAAGAGCAAGTGGATGGAAAATCCATTAGATAAAAGGTCAATTGAAACACTTGCAAAGAAAGGATCGAGCTGTCATCCCCAATCCCAGGGATCATTCACAGCTTCAGAACAATTGAGAAAGCCACACAGGGTAGGCCCCTGCTGGGGGCGTTCATAAAGCACACAGCACCCCCCATCAAGCTCTCCTGCTGTCCCCCAACCTCTGGAATAAAAGAAGAGAGAACTGAGCATGAACCAAATAAATTTCAGATTGCTCCTAGCATCCATTCTGGAGTATCAGAGAGCTCTGAGACTGGACTAGTTAACAGATAATATTGAACAACTAATTGTATTTACATTCAATATAAAGAATGATATTGTAGCATATTTTAAAAGTCCATTTTGAAATACATACCAAAGTATCTGATATTAAAATAACATGATGTCTGAAGCTTGTTTTAAGTTATTTCACAAAAAAGCAGGCAGCATAGGGTAGAAGTGGAAGAAAGGGGCTGACAAAACTATCTGGCATTAAAAACACTGATGATTACCGAAGCCGAGTGATGGACTAATGGAAGTGCATTGTGCTTCCTCGGGTGTATATATTCAACTTTCACAATAAAATATCTTAAATCATGCTATTAAAAATATTTAATTACACAGAAATACATGACACAAGAACCATGGGAAAATTCAAGATCACAAAGCTAAACAAGGCATGTTCCTGATTTTGCAAAACCATGAGATATGAACCCAGTTTATTAAAGAGTCAAAATCACTGTGGTGAGAATGTGAATAGTTTTTGTTGCTTCTAGGACACACACTCCAGCTGGACTATACTGAGCTCCTTTTCTATTCAAGGAATGTAATTTGACCAGGTCGTGGGAATGGACAGAGACATGAACTTTTATTTCTCTTCCTGCAATTGATAATTGAGGATTTAGTCGGGAGACACTCACCTACTAAATAGGATGCCTTGAATCTAAACTAGGGAGGAAGGGCTGGCCTGAAGCCTTCCAAACACAACCTTACTTCTTAACTGTGCAAATTGGCTGGCTGGGGCCAGGAAACAGAAGCTTCCACGTTCCCTCTGGCACTCACTTTCACACCCCACGACCAAAGTATCCCCCAGTCAAGGAATCCCCGAGTCTCCTCACTCTACTCCTTGGTCAAATCACTGTTCCTAGAGAGACATCTCAACCACACCAATAAATGAAAATCACTGCTTCTAGAATAATTTTAACTTTTTCAAGTGTCCAGCTATTCAAACCTGCATTTTACTTCATATTTGCATACATTTATTTATTCAATCATATTTCCTAAGCTCTCACTCTTTGCAAAATAGCACTAAGTCAATTTGCCAAAAATCTATCTGCTGAATGAACAGCTCACAAAACACTGCCTGTGGGCAGCAGCCACTTCACAGCAGGGGCTGGTGCCAGCTAGAAGGTCAGTGCCTAGGGCCCAGACCACAGGGTCAGCCAGAGAGGCCTTCAGAAGCACACATTGTCCCAGGGTCACTTATTAGGAAAACACGAATGGGATCACGCATAAAGAGTTAGGCTCTACCACTGCGGAGGGAACACACCCCAGCAGCTGCAGCAACACTGAAACTAGAGAAAATTCTCAAAAGCTGATAAAATCATCTCTACAGCATAGATTACCATAAACATATTTATAAGTATATGAATGCTAGTTTCTGGTAAATTTATAACTCAATAAAGATAAGGGCAAGAGAGGGTCAAAGTTTCTTGGGCTCTTGCTGCTCCCTTTCCTCCCTCTACCCAAATGAAAGACCCAGTGAAAGGGGCCGTCTTCCTGTCCTTCAAACCCAGCCTCTAATGTCATTTTCTTAACTAGAAAATACAGGCCTGGCCTGGCGCAGTGGCTCATGCCAGTAATTCCAGGACTTTGGGAGGCCAAGGCAGGCAGATCACAAGGTCAAGAGATCGAGACCATCCTATCAACATGGTGAAACCCTGTCTCTCCCAAAAATACAAAAATCAGCTGGGCATAGTGGCACACACCTGTAGTCCCAGCTACTTGGGAGGCTGAGGCAGGAGAATCGCTTGAACCCAGGAGGCAGAGGTTGCAGTGAGCCTAGATTGTGCCACTGCACTCCAGCCTGGGGACAAGAGTCAGACTCCATCTCAAAAAAAAAAGAAAGAAAGAAAATGCAGGCCTAAGGATGTTAAGTGTCTTGTCGAAGATCATGCTATCTTTATCTAGGAAAGGTCCATGTCATTGATGACCCATATTACATATCATATACCTAATTATATAGAACCGAAGAAAGCCAGAATACTACAACCATGAATAATTCTCTCGTTCTTTTATAGAATGGAAAGTGTTCCTTATTTTCTGCCCATTCTTTTCCACTGAACACACATGGACTCTGTACCTTGACTTCATGAAGGATACCCACGTGGGGATGCACAGTATTGCAGCCATAACATAAGCTATGGAAGCCACTGCCTGGATCCCAGTCCTGATGTCAGAGGTGTTTGAACCAAAGTGACTCCATCTTGAATAGGGGCTGGGCAAAATAAGAAGGAGACCTACCTCCCAGGAGGTTAAGGAATTCTTAGTCACAGGATGAGTCGGAAGTTGACACAAGATAGAGATCATAAAGACCTTGCTGATAAGACAGGTTGCAGTAAAGAAGCCGGCCAAAACCCACCAAAGCCAAGATGCTGACCAGTGACCTCTGGTCATCCTCACTGCTGCAGTCCCACCAGTGCCATGGCAACATCAGGAAGTTACCCTACATGGTCTAAAAAGAAGAAGCATAAATAATCCCTCTTTGTTTGACATATAATCATATAATCAAGAAATAACCATAAAAAAGGGCAACCAGCAGCCCTCAGGGCTGCTCTGTCTATGGAGTAGCCATTCTTTTTTCCTTTACTTTCTTTGCTTTTACTTTAAGGACTCGCCCTGAATTCTTTCCTGTACAAGACCCAAAAGCCCTCTCCTGGGGTCTGGATTGGGACCCCTTTCCAGTAACACCGATACTTCTATTATGCTAGGTACAGCCTTAGGCAAGTTACACAACCGCTGGTAAGCCTGTTTCCTCATCTGTAAACTGGAAATTATCATCCTCATTACCTCCCAGGATTACTGTGAAAATTCTGAAACAATTTTTGTAGCAGGCTACAAAAACACAGTACCCAATAAATGTTACCTGTTATTATTAATTATCAAGATGTACTTCAAACACTCTCTACTTGTAAATACGATCAAAAATTTTGGTTCGACTTAAAAGAAGAAAATCATAAGTTGGCTCTAAAAGCATTTGAAATAGTATGGTAAACCATAGGTTGGATCTAAAAGCATCTGAAATAGTATGGTAACAGGCAAGCTAATCATAGATTGAAATATCTTCATCCACCAAGTTTTGGGTTTTTTCCCCTACATTCAGTAGATTTTAACAACAAGGTAATATTTACGACACTGCTTGCTAGAATTCCTAACCTCGAGTTTTTTTGTTTTATTTTTTAAAAAAGGTCTTGTAGGCCAGGCGCAGTGGCTCACGCCTGTAACTACAGCTCTTTTAGAGGCCGAGGCAGGCGGATCACCCGAGGTTGGGAGCTTGAGACCAGCCTGACCAACATGGAGAAACCCGATCTCTACTAAAAATACAAAATTAGCCAGGTGTGGTGGCGCATGCCTGTGATCCCATCTACTCAGCAGGCTGAGGCAGAATCACTTGAACCTGGGAAGCGGAGGTTGCCGTTAGCCAAGATCGTGCCATTGCACTCCAGCCTGGGCAACAGAGTGAGACACTGTTTCAAAAGTGGGGGGGCCTGCATTATTTGTTTTACTATGTTTATTAAATTCACATCAAAAATAATATTCGTTAAATGAGAGTTAGGGACTTATTCATCATTAATATTCTCCAATTATTGCTGTACTAATTCCCTCGTGCTCTTCCCACATATGCTTCCACACTGTGGCTAATCGAAAGTGAAGTTTGTGGAATCAGCTTTGCAGTCATACACTAGCTAAAAATACTCCTCTTACCTTGGGAAGCGAAAATCACAAGCCTAGATAAACATGGACACTGCAGTTGGGGGGGAAGTTTTGATTCGCCATCAAAACAAATGTTGCAATCCTTTTGCACCATGAAGAAGTAAAATCAGCTATAGTTGCACTGGAGTTTTATTAGGCCTGTGACCACTGACACTATAAAAAGTAAAAGATATTTTATTTGAACAGAACTATACAACGTAAAAGGCATTTCTGCATCTACTGTCAGCTCTGTGAAGTAGGTAGAGCAAGGGTTTATCATCACAACTTCAAAGAAACTGAGAAATGAACAGGTTCTAGAGTCTGTCCAAAGTCATAAGATTGGAAAGGGGCAGGGTCAAAACTGGACGCACACTCTGCTCTCCTGATTTTTATTCCAGGGATCTTCTACTTCTGACTCAGCCAGCAACTCTGGGAAAAGCTTCCGACCAACTTTCTGCATTAGGATATAAAAGAAACAGACCATGTGGTCTGTGCCCTGCAGGAGCTAACAACCTACTTACAATGACCAAAGCCCAAGAAGAAACTTTTTTTTTTTTGAGACGGAGTCTTGCTGTGTCACCCAGGCTGGAGTGCAGTGGCGTGATCTCGGCTCACTGGAACCTCCACCTCCCGGGTTCAAGCCATTCTTCTACCTCAGCCTCCCAAGTAGCTGGGATTACAAGTGCATGCAAACATGCCCAGCTAATTTTTGTATTTTTAGTAGAGACGGGGTTTCACCATGTTGGCCAGGATGGTCTCGATTTCTTGACCACGTGGTCCACCCGCCTCGGCCTCCCAAAGTACTGGGATTACAGGTGTAAGCTACTGCACCTGGCCAAAAAGGAACATTTTTAAAACAGTCTGTTTAGAAGACATTGCCTTAATTAAACATCCTTAGTGGAACTGGGAGGTTGGGAAAGAGAACCAAGCACTCAGGAGTCCATCATATTGCCAAAGAATGTCCTAGGCCTACTAGATGAAGATAATCTGAAGAAAACATGCCCCCTGCCCTTAACTAATAATAATACAGCCGAGCACAGTGGCTCACACCTGTAATCCCAGCACTTTGGGAGGCCGAAGCGGGTGAATCACAAGGCCAGGGGTTCAAGACCAGCCTGACCAACATGGTGAAACCATGACAGGCTGCTCTTGAACTCCTGACCTCAGGTGATTCATCCGCCTTGGCCTTCCAAAGTGCTGGGACTGCAGGTATGAGCTACAGCACCTGGCTCCTTTTGTGTGTTTTTTAATGGTTGAAGGATGAACAAGACAGTTACGATATTTTAAAAGGTGTCAACATAGGTTTCTGTTTCTTCCATGCCACTATGTCTTCTGCAAAATGGAAATTAAAACAGATGTCTTTTCACATTAAATTTTTCTCTGACCTTATAGCTCAGACATAACTATCTAATAAACTTCCCTGATATCCCATTTTATCTACCAACTGAAATAATAGGAGGAAATAAGGCCGCTGACAAGCAAATCTATTATAAAACATTAATGATAATTACTTAAGTTTATGAGGTCCGTGAATACAGACATATCACATATTGTGTATCTCACATACTAATGGACTACACTGGATAAATAAGAAAAAAGTAAATAAGGAGGGCCATTTAAGATCAAATAGAAATGATCATGTCTAGTGTTAAGTACAAAATGCTGCAGGTTTTATAGTAAGAGGAAGACAGCTACAAGGATAAATATCTAGGATTGTTTCAAAGAAAACAAACATGAAGTCCAACAGCTAAACAAATCATTAAGGAAACAAGTCACAAAGCACACAAGGATAATGAACTCCCTGCCCTCATCTACAAAGAAGATGACCGCAGCTCATAAAGGGATTTGGACCAACATAAAGGAGGGTGAAACTCTACTACCCCTGGAGGAATCAAAACTCACTGAACCTAGGTGTGCCTTTGATTTAGACACTCTTACAGGAAGATCCTCTCAGTCTTCAAAAATAAGTGCCTACAATATGTCTTCATGATTGTGTTGAAGAAGTTGACTGTTCTCTGTAGTGAGCTAAGGTGCACATTTGATGCATTTATGTTACTTAACACTAGGAATATTGAGAAGGGTATGGAAAGATGTGTTCCACATCAATCACAGCAAATATGTCATACTGGGACAGCATTTAAAAACTGACTTTGTTATAGAGAGTTCTCAGTAGTAGTCACTACATAGTCTATTAAAAATTATATGAAGTTCAATTTGATTACCATGAAGGCATTTTCTTTTCTGGGGAAGAAAGAGAAAGTAACTATCCAACTTCGCATTTTCTTTTCTGGGGAAGAAAGAAAAAGTAACTATCCAGCTTCGATTTGCCAAAGGCTGAAAATGACAAAAATAAATAGAGAAATGTAACCTAATAAATCTAATGAAGTTTAAAAGAGAATATCATAGAGCATATATGAGGATAACTACCAATCACTTTTCAGGACCTATGGCAGGTTATGAATTTCTTGTTATTTTTTTTTAAAAGATCGTGAAATAAATCAAGATTAAAAGGGAAAAACTATAGAAAGTCAGAAGAAAAAAATGTTTTTTTTAATTTAGTTTTCATATCTATTAAGTTAAATCCACAAAAGTGAATCTAATAGGTGGCAGCTTCTAAAATCACTTGGTTGAAGAGTTTTACTTAAATATTTAAAGCAGTCTCAAAGAAAAGGAATGAGTCACGCAGACCAGAGCTGCTGCTCTGACCTTTCAAGGCACACATCATCAACTCTTCTAGTTGGAAAGAACATCAGTGATCAAGTTCAGCCTCTCCAGGTCTGTGGCCACCCCACCGGATCTTCATTCAGTCTATTTTAACATCTCCAGCGATGATGACACTGTTCCTCTCAAGACCACACATTCCAACACTGGACATTCTATAAGGTATGGCCTCTCTTATGCTGACTTGAAATCATACAAATGGCTAACAAATCTAGCTCCTTCATCCTGAACACATTCAGTCTTCTGCTTCAATGTATATCTCAGGTTTCAATGGTGTTCCTACAGTCAATGGAAAGCTACTGGAAAACTTGGAGAGTGGCTTTAAAAATCCTCCTGGGAAGGAGGGGATGAGTATTTAAAAACATATTTTTGGAGGTATATCTTAACAGGATGTAGAGACTAATTAACTATACGGAGGAGGAAGAGCGGGATAGCTTGGCAAGCTTGTACAACTTCTAGCTTAAGAAACTGGGCAAAGGGCTGTGCTAGATGGTATTATCCACCAGGAATCTAACAATACGTAAGGCAGCAGGTTGAGTTTGGAGAAAAGAAACTATTTTGAAACTATTCCCATATCTATATAAAGATGTTTAAAAGAAAATAGGAGCCGGACATGGTGGCTCATGCCTGTAATCCCAGCACTTTGGGAGGCTGAGGTGGGCGGATCACTTGAGGTCAGGGTTTGGGACCAGCCTGGCCAACAGGGTCTCTACTAAAAT